TTTTTAATAAAAATAAAGGATTTTCAAAAATTTAAACTACTCTCTTAAATTTCATAGATTTTCCACAACTTTCTTTACTAGCGTCATCCTTTTCTTTGTAAGAAAGAATCCTGACTGTTGGCATTAATAAAATAATTTTCTTCCCCATTCTCTCTTCTATTTTTTCTTTAAAGCTTTTCTATCTTCAGTGAAACTTTTCATTTCTTGATTGTGGAAGTACTCAACTATATTTCCACTTTGGACTTTCTCTGAAACAAAATCATATTTCTAATGCTCTTAAGTTATTAGAATAATGCTTTTCTGGATGTTTTTCACAAAAAGTATTACCTGAGATGATCTCATAAAGAGTTCTTGAATATCCAGCTCATCTAATAGGAGAGTCCTTCCTATGCGGTGCACTGCCATGCTCACGTGGGATTTGCTATAGGGAATCTTCAGGAGCTTTTTTATGTTCTTAAAAAAATTCAGAGAAAAAATAGTTTAGAAAGACCTTTTTAGTATGATTTAGAATCTTTAAAATGATAACTTCATTTGTAAAACTTATTTCCTTAAGTTTATACAAACTGTACTTTACACAAAGGGCTACATGCAAATATATGGAATACAAAGCTTTAAAACCAGAATTACCTGGAGTTTCTGAGTCATACTATGTTAATGTAAATGACAGTCAAACATTTATACTTACATGATAGAATTTCTTAAAGTTAAGTGTGTACAGGTCACACCATTGCACTGACCTAGGCTTTTAGTATATCAGATAAAAACCACCAATTAAGGATCAACAGACTTTACTAGAAATATCATTAGTAATTCTCAACTGGTACCATATACAGAATAATCCCAAACATATAATCAGTTTCAATAACTATTATTAGAACACAACCATCGGTATTAATATTATTGCCACTGCCAGTATTTTGAGAGTTGTTCCCTCCTCTTGGAAGAAAGGAGATACAGTAAAGAGTGATATTTTAATAAACGAAGAAGATATTCAATAATCTGATAGTTTTATCTTATTTCATCACTAATTTCTCAAGACTACATAACAGAAAATGATACATCTAGCATAAAACATTCCCAAAATTACATTAAGCGGTAACACTTACTTCAGAGTCAGAAACAACATCCACATCATTTCCCACTGAATCGATAAAGTCATATGCCATGCCAAAGCTACCGAAGGAAAAAAAGGCCACGAGTTACAAGATCATGCTAAGAATCATGCAAATAGAGGTTAACAACAGAATACTGCATTTCATCACTTCTAGGGCATATTTTCCACATTTTAACATCTCTGAAATCAGATGTCTATCACTATTATAGTTGGCTAGTTTTTCCTGCTTAGTGGAACATAAAATAATGGTATGTCTTAAAATCAATGGTATCTTAGAGTTTATAAACATAGTAATAATCTTTAGAAGAAATTAGTAGGAAACACTTAGAATAAAAACACTTAACAATTGTTTTTATTTTTGTAATCACAAAACTCAAAAAAATCTCCAAGAGAAAACCACTACAAGATTTTATCCTTTTTAGGTAGTGAGATAAGAAAAAGAGAAAGAGAAACATTTTCCAGGATTTTATTTTCTGGGATCGTATATATAATATACATTGATATACGATATTTCTCTTTTAAAAATAGATATTAAAAAATGCACCTGATACCAATTCTGCCAAAAGGGAAAAGGAAAAAATGAAAGTTAATTGAGCATCCAACTCATGCTAGGTAGCTGATATCACCGTTTTCCAGATAGTAAGTAGCAGAGTGTCAGGATACTCACCTAGGACTGCTAACTTCAAAGCATAATCGCATGATTTACCATGGACACCAGGCAAGTTATTTAACCTTTCTCAGCTTTTCTCGTGCAAAATAGTTAACAGGGCCTATCTCAAACGGTGGTTGTGAGAATTAAATGAGATAAACATATGAAATACTTAGCATAGTGTTTGTATACAATTATCATTTAAATCACCTCATAACATTTAATTGTGTTTACATATCATAATTTATTAAACTATCGTTCTAAAAAAAGATATTTGGGTTATTTCCAACTTTTTGCTAGTGCAAATAATGCTATAAACAACATTTTGCAAATGTAACTTTTGCCTTCTGAGGCATTAGGATAATTTTCAAACTACTAGTTCATAGATATTAATGTGTTTGTGCCTCTTGCTATAAGTTACATGGAAATATTTTAGGTTGAATCGCTGAGAGAAAATAAACAGAAACACACACATTAAATGGCATACAAGAATACGGATGTTAGTACGTTTTTCTCTATAAGATCCCAGGCTACTCTCTCAACTTTAAATACTGCCAGCAGAATTTCCAGTGTCAAAGTCAAAGGTGTAGGCCACATAACATGCTGGGTTTTTACTTTGGGCTTTTTCAGACCAGATAATCCACCATCATTTAATGAAAAACTCCACAGGACACATCAGGCAGTGTTAAGGTTTTCCTCCTCATGTGCCACCCTGATTCTTTATATTCATATATTCAAAAGATATGCAAATTGGCTAAAATAAAACGGCTGATTTAACTTTGGCAGTTAAAGTCATCTTCCTTAATAACATGATGTAGACTTGAAAAAAGCATATGCAATTGATACCTTCATATTGCAACATTATTATCAGAGGAAAAAAGAACTTTCAAAGTTAAATGTGATCTTTTTTGAAAGCGAAAGCTCAGCAAGTTAATGTGCATTACCAATTAAACTGAAAATCAAGTATTAAGAGTTTTAAATCAGGATACAGGAGCAGGTAAAAATGCCACCAATTAATATTCACCTTGAAAATGGCTTGCTTTTCTTACTGTTGCCAAGAATGGTAGTTCCTGCTGGCCCTAATTTGGCACTCTCTCGTAACCAGTTGGCAGGTGGGAGTTTCAAGTCTGTCTTCTCTTCGAGGCGTGCGAATGCTGTTCGCGGAGGGGCAGAAGAGTATTTCACCACAGCTCGGCTCTTCACTTCGCTGCCTCCGAGAAATAAAGCTGACCCCTAATTAATGTATTGAATGAAACATTAATCAACATGACTACTAAAATGAAAATCTCACCTTTACAAAAAGCAAACAAGAACCCACCACACCGGGCTTCACAAGGAACATATGCTACATGTTAATAACAGCATTTAATAAATTCAAGCCTAAATTGTCACATTTGCTTAGCTCTTTTTCACATAACTCCAAAGAAAAAAGATGACTCAAGGAGCATGATGGTTATCATTATCAGTTAGGAAACAGGCCAATCACTCTGCCTTTTAAAATTTATCCAATTTATATGAATAAAGTGGAGAAGCAGAAACCAAGGAGACTCAATAGTATCATGTTACTAAAAACAAAATTTAATAAAACCTCTGTTATGCTTGAGTATTTTAATTTCAATAACATGCATCATTTACAAAAGAGCCTGGTAAGATATCTGGTACTTGTTTTCAAGCAAATGTTTAGTAATTGATTCATCAGTTCATTACACAAATACTCTGAACCTGTAACTTCATCGCAAGGCACTGGGGGATTCCTCACAACCTGCACCTGCACATCCCCAAGGCAAGTTCAGTGTCTGGGTTCAATATTCTAAAATCTCGCGAAGTCCCTTTTTGGCCTGGCAACACTTTGCACCTTTCAAGAATTAGTTCAGTCCCATTCTCGGTGAGTCCCTCCCTGGCACCCTCTCTCTTCCCTTCGGCTTTGCACGGCTGTGCCACATTGTAGAACCACATATTTACACGTACTCTCCTTGAGAGCAGAGATCGTGTCTAACTCACCTGTCGGTTACCAGGACTGCTTTTGATACGAATGACTTGCAAGTAAATACCTGAATACCTGGCGACAAGCACACGGATTTCCACTCCCTGTTTGGGGGGTGTCAGGGAGGCGTGGAGAAGGCGCCAAAACCTGCCGGGAATCGTGACATTCCTCCTCGGCGGAGAGGGCCCGCAGCTCCCGGAGCCCTGGCAGGTCCCGCCCCGCGGAGGGCTCACCTGTGCAGAAGGTTCCTCGGACTCTCCCTGGGACAGGAGGCTGAGCCCTCCCCGAGCAGCGGCCACGGCCGGCGAAGCCTCGGCTCCGGCCTCCTTGAGGTCACCCATCACTTCGGTCCAGGGCAGCAGAGACAAAGCGGGACCCGAGGAGCCGCGACAGGAACCCAGGCCCAGTAGCGCGGCGGCACAGCCGAGCAAGCGCCAAACGCGCTCCGCAAACAGCACTTCCGGCCTCTGACAGGAAGAGGTTGCGGTGACGCGCGCTTATATCTCGCGAGCTTTGTCCCAGAGGCCCAGCCCCGCCTCCCGCTGCGGGTGCCACCTTCGCGGCGTGGGGGGGCGGGAGGTGCAGTGCGCCTGCGTCTGTCAGGGTTTCTTCGGGAGACCACTTCTCGCGGTTTCTGAGTCCCAGGCTCCGCCCCCTGCACACGGCTGGTCTTTGTTGGCAAATAGTTCTTGGGACTTGGGCTTGGGGCGGGGAGTCAAAGTGGGAGGGTGGCGGGGCTCCTCTCTGCGTGGGCGGGGAGATGCTGCGGTCGCACGAATTCATGAAGTGTTGGCGCTCCTCCTTCCCCAGCCTTCGCTGCCCCCTGGTTTTACCTACGGGCACTCTGCGGCCCTAGGGGAAGGGCGTGCCCAGGTGAGGGGCGGCGCGGCTCGAGCCCGGGGACTCTGACTCGGCGTCCACGGTCTCTGACTCGGCGTCCGCTCCCTGCTGCATCACAGTGCGTGCGTGCCCCCCGGTCCTGGTGCGGGAGCGGGAGCTAAGCTGCGCAGAGGGGGCCCCCTCGCGTGTGGATGATGGACTTCGAGCGGGCAGCACCTGCTGAAGTGCTCCTGGAGCACCTGCGGAGGGCCGCTGTGTGTCGGGCCCCGGGGGTCTGGCCCAGCATTCCACGGGGTCCGGGGCTTCTCAAACGTTAGCGTGCCCGGGAAACCCCGAGGGGGCTTGTTAACTTGCAGGCTCTGATTCTGGAAGGCTGGGGTGGGCCTGAGGTTCCGCATGGCTCAAGCTCCAGGGAGGCGATGCCAGAGCTCTGAGTAGCAAGGAGGTCGAGAAATAGGGCCGCTTTAAACCTTCGAAAGTCTAGGCTCCTACTTTCAGACTCCGCACCCGGTGTGATATCAAACAGTTAAACGCAGCCATATCCTTCGTAAAATGTTTTTTGTGTGGTAAAAGTTTTTGTTTTGCTGTAAGATGTGGAAAGTTTTTTTAAAAAATTAGTTTTGCCTTTGCAGTGGTTTGGCTGTCTCACTTTGTAATGTACCTCTGGCTCTGATAACTCACTGCTGTGTCCATATTCAGGAATGCTGTGATTATGTGCAAGCTCAATTTACAAATTGTTTTCCAATTTAACAAAACATTTTTATGAATTAAATTTAGCAATGAATTTGATATAGTATATTTTGTAGACATTTACTAAAACATGTATTGATTTTGATTTTTATCACTTGTATTTTGCAGTCGATTTTTTGTTTTTCACAAGTTATGCGTTGTTATAGTAAAAAGTTGAACACAAATATGTCTAACATTAGGAGGATGGTTAAGTCTCTTTTTGGTACATAATAAAGAAACCCTGTGCAACTGTTACCTCGTTTTTCAGGAATATTCAAGAACATTTAAATCATACATCATATATCGTTAAATGATAAATTTTTAAAAAGCCAATGTGCAATATCCGAATTTTCAAAACGTGTCTATTTCTTTGTATCCACAAAAACAGATCTCTGAGAGGTAAGATGAAGGGATTTAAAATTTATTCCTTAAAGTTTTCTTTATTTTCCTATTTTTTTCTTTGTGATTGCATATTATTTTATAATAAAATAACTTTATTAAGCTTTTATACATATATAATTTAGCTTCTGATAATCTTTACATTCTGTTGTTTTATGGTATAATTCTTTGTAAGAAGGGATTTCATGAGGTAGCAGTCATTCTTTTCTCAAGACTCAAATATTTTGTGTGTCTCTTGAGAGATAAGTGCCTGGACCCTGTTGATGATGCTGAGTGGGAAAATGTGCTGGAAACAGCCTGTAAAAAGGCAGAGAAGAATGAAACAGAACCAGGAACTTAGCACAGAAAAAGAGAGGTCAGCAGCTGACAGAGGATGGTGGAGCTGAGGATGTCAGGGCGGGGGCGCCAGGGGACGCTGGGGACCACTTGTGGAGGGAAGCTTGAGTAGGAGCTGGGTCTCCAGCAGCCACACACAGGGCCAGCCCTGGAGTGCTGTAATTGAGTTTGTAAAGGAGAGTGATCTCTGAATGCTGGAGAAACTGGGCACATCTGGATTTCATAAAGTTTATATATTCCGCTAGCTCTAAGGGCTTATTAATTTTTTCGTTTTCCCTATTCAAACATTTTTACGTGCTGTGGGGTTTTTTAAGTTATAATAGTATTGTTCCTAATGTGATTGAAATATATTATGGGAAAACATGGATCATTACTTCCAGAATTTAAAATTTTAAGACATATTTATGTTCATTTTTATATTGTACCGTGTCTGCCTGTTCCTTCCATCTCCGTCCCTACCCCCCACCCCCTGTTCAGGATGTACTCCGTCCTGCGTGGCCTGCTCTGCCCTGTCAGTACAGTTATCCTGATTCTTGTAACTAGTCAGTGCTCCACCACGTTTACCTGCCTCCCCAGTGCCTGATGCTCTGGCTACTAGAAAATGTTCATTGAATGAATGAATGAGCAACATGCTCCTCGTTGCATAGCCCCACATTTGCTGGTGCTTTTCCTTTGCCTGGAATACCTTCCCTTCCGCACCTGGTTTATTCCCACCTACCCCTTGAGATTCATCTCCATTAAGTCCCTCCTGACACCTCCCCACTCCTTCCCCTCAGAATCCGTTTCTTTTTTCCCATCCTTGTATCACTTTGTCCTGCACTTGTCATATTATAGAAAAACCACGTGTTTGTCTCTGGCGCCCTCACCGACTCTGAGCTCCTCAAAGGCTGGCGTCCCATCTGATCACCAGCACCAGGCACAGCACCAGCCGACAGAACTGGTTTAGCCCTTAGGCAAGGGAGGGAACATGACTGGAGCTGACAGGCTTTTAAAATGCTCATGAAAATGTTTGAGACATAAAAACAATGTTGGCTCCAAACTACTTTTTAATCTGCAGAATCAAAGCTAAAAATGTTTAATGAAGTAGCTCCAAAAGATTGCAATGTCAATGTCATTAATTATTAAAGTTAGTATTGACATGCAGTTTGCTCCATTCTAAAACAATTTGTAGATTAGACTTACTCAGTTTGCAAAAATCCTCCCAGCATGCATGATGATTTCAGAGAAATCCCAGGCATTCACAAATTTAGTTATTTGTAGTGTGCAGAATTTTCCAAAGCAAAACTAGAAATCCTTTCAAAAATGTTTACAGTAAGACTATTATATGTAAGGCAGATGTGGTTGGGGCTGCTCCCTAGGGCACTCACAGTTCCTATACAGCCTGGCTGGTAGCGGACGCCAAGCTCTAAAACTTCTAAACTCAGGGACTATTTAGGACATGTTCTCTTCAGTTTGCTCTGGGCCCCTCCACGACCTAGTGTTTTACACCTAACCACCCTCATTCATTTACTTTGCTGGAACGATTCTGAATTTCTGACTCCTGATCCTGGACTCTTGGAGCTGAAAAATTTGAGATTATCTGAGCCAATCCCTTCCCTCCTTAGATAAGAGCAATGCAATCCAGAAAGGAGACTAGGATGGACTTGTTGAACATCATACAAAGCTAGTTAGTAGCAGAGCCAGAACTAGTACCCAGGTTTCCCACTCAGTTAGCCTTCTAAAAAGTAAAATTGCAGACATAAGCCAGTGGAGGTTTAACTTGTTTTATAATCATCTGAGGAACTTCTTAAGAGAGCACATCCTCCAGCCACCTCCAGATTCTAAGTCAGTATCTCTGGGGTAGTGCTGAGGAGTCTACGTTTTTCGTGAGATTGCTAGTTTCTAATGACCTTGGCCTATAGACCACACATTAGGACAGTAGTCTCCAAAGATAATCCCCTGGATGCAGGAAGACGGTAACTTTTTTTTTTTAATTTGCAGAGTAAGGGCAAAATTAGGTTTTACTAATACTTAATCTGCAGATTGACACAGGTGCCCTTCTTGGGCCATGGTCAGCTGGTCAAGTATGATTGGATTATACAGATGAAACAAAAGATCCCCAGATGTCAGTGGTTTACAGCTAGGGTTGCCAGAGAAAATACAGGACACCAAGTTAAACTTGAATTTCAGATGAACAGTGAAAAAATTTTTAGGGTAAAAATGTTCCAAATATTTAGTGTTAAGTATGTCCCATGTTACATTTGGGACATACTTGTACTTGTCTATGTCATCTTCCTCTAGGACCCAGGCTGATGAAGCAGCCTCAGTCTGGAGCATTGCGAGTTGGAGTAGCAGAGGGACAAAAACAGATTGGTGAACTGCAAACTAGCTCCTACAGCTCTGATCAGAAGTGACACACATCACTGCCACTCACCTTTTTTAGACCGAATGAGTCACATGGCCACGCTTAGCATCAATATGGCAGGGAAGACTGATGCAACCCTGAGGGGGGACATTGGTTGTCTGTGACCATTATGCTGTCTACCCCAAGCACATAGTGGCTTGGATAGGCTATCAGATGCCATTCACAAGGTTAAATTTGATGGTGAAATGAAGCCTTTAGGAGGATCTTTTCAGAGTTTTTTAATGAGATGAGGAGTGTCTTAGTTCCTTTTTTGTTGCTGTAAGAGCATACCTGACACTGGGTAATTTATAAAAGAGGCTTACGTAGCTCACAGTTCTATAGGTTGGGAAGTCCAAGGGCATGGCCCTGGCCTCTGGTGAGGGCTTTTATGCTGCCTTATAACATGGTGGAGAAGATCAAAGGGGACGTGGACACGTGTGAAGAGGCAGAACTCAAGGGGGGTACTAGCTTATAATGCCTCACTCTTGTGGGAACATACCCACTCCTTAGAGAACTAACCCAGTCCTGCCAGAGTGAGATCAGGCCACCCATGCGGGCAGAGCCCTCTTGACCCGAACGTGTCAGGTTAAGCCGCACCTCCCAACACCACCGCATCAGGATCAAATTTCAACATGAGTGTTGGCAGGGACAAACAACCATATCCAAACCATAGCCAGGAGTGACCTTGAAAATCTCATGTACCACATGGAGATTACAGATCATCTGTGACAAAGCACTCAGAAGAGTTGTCAAGCTTGAAAATGAGTTAC